TATTCGCCATTATGCTTGCTTTTCGTTACATATTATGTTGTTATTATTATTATATTGTATACATTGAAACTCAGACATCAGACTGATCTCTATAGATTGCCACGGTGACGAGTCGTTGGACTATTTTCAATGATTAATTATTTAGTATATTATAAACACTGACGGCGGCCATATGGTAAACCGATGGCGGTGGTCTACCGTAGAGATATGTTGCTACAATGCATGTATATAATATAATATATTATGTTTAATACGGTGGGTATTTATGGGGAAAGGATACGACAAACATCTGCTCGCCACCTCTAGACACACACACACACCAACATAAAGTGAAGTGATGGAAATATAAAAGTATAACGGCGATGGATATGAAATAAAATATAATATACACGATTGATTTTCATTTTTTTTTTTATTCATTCAACAATCATGACTTATCGATTCCTAAACTAAAACACATCAGCAGCCCTCCTAGATTGGCATTAGGTGTCTGTCTAAAGCGAAGATAGTGCTCAAGCGATATGCGGGCGGGTAAAAGTAGAATAGGGTCAGATATAGAATTAATGTATGAGGGATCTAATCTAGCCCTGCAGTGCCAATTGCATCAGAAATGCAACATGTTTTTGTATTGATGGCGACCTATAGTTAATAAAGAAATAATTACTATCTACCAGATGTTATAAGCGTAACTGCTTTAGATATATACTTTTTAAATTATTTTTCCCAAATTCCTGGTAAGTTAATCTAATATTGTGTATTGAAAAAAAAATTGGGCATTACCATTTGATTAGAGCATACATTAGTAGCACTTTATTAATACATAAGCAGATAGATCCACCGAGCAAATCCTGGTAGTCTCTTATATTATCTTATTTACTTGGTAATACTTGGAACTAAATAAACAAGTACAATTTGTGTTTTTTTTAAATAAAATTGAATTTAAATATAATGTAATTTAAACGAATAATTCTATAATTTTATTGATTATAACTTGGGTCATTTTATATAAATTCGATTTCTTTAGGAACTAAATCATTCTGGCTAAATTCACTGGGTCAGGTCCGGGAGATTCGCCAAAGTGGCCAGTCACTATTGTAATACTTACTAATAAATAATGATTTTGAATATTTCCTCCTCTGACTCAATTAAATAGTAAGACGAAGAATGCTATTAAAAGTAACAATATCTATCAGGATTTACATTTTTCAGGGGATGTGGGGATCGAAGTGTCCCTCGAGTCAGTCAGTTGTATATACCATCATAACGAACACTTGGCCAACAGATACATACTGCAATGTTTGCGCTATAATGTTTGCGTCTTACATTTTTAGACCAATGTCGGTGTATCTTCTTTTTTGTGTGTATGTGTTCTGGCATTGTAATATCTCTATATACTGTATATAGTTGTGAGATGTATAATAACAAAAAAAAATATATATATTATATATAATAGGGAACGACAGTGGCAGTGCCCTCCAACACCGCCGCCGCATATTTTCGAATACCGGCAAAAAGAATTTCACGTCCGCCGCCAGCTATTCGCTCTCGGTGTGTAGGTATATAATAACGATAATCGCACACAGGACTATGACCCTAGAAAGAAAGGAAAACGCACAACGGTCGTACTTCCCCGTACTTAAGACGACGCTAGATGGAGTGGGGGGGGGGCAGGAGAAGGGGTGTATTGTCAATAATACTTTTCCACTAGATTCCAATTAAAAATGGCCCGTGTATGTGAAACCGCGCTATTTTATAATCTTCTCCATCCACTCTAGGATTTTTGTTTACTCTCTAACCACTATGTTTTCAATTTTTTTAATTATAATATTCATTTTTGGCATTTGCTCCCCGGAGAGAAAAACGAACGAAAATAAATAAAACATCATAAATCATTGCTAAAATTCACTTCGGGCTGGCTACCGAGTGGTCCGTGTACCAAAACATGTGTTCTAGCCTATCCGGTTACAGCTTACCCATATCAATCGACAACCGCGCTGTTAAAGTCAAGTCAATATAATAACAAAACAAAAATAATAATGAGTAATGCTACCGTAATTCGTGTAACGATATAGCTGTTATAAATAGGGGTTGATCCAGTATATTGAGGAGGCGGTAAAAGCAGTATCCTAACCCCTTCGCATCTTACTATGTAATTAATCAAATTGAAGAATAATAATATGTATAAACGAGTATAATATTATTTACTGTAATCTAATGTAATTACTGTAAACTACTATGGTGGTTATTTTTAAAATAATAAACCCATCAATCGATTGTAGTTTCTATTTCTCATTTGTTAAATCAATATTGACTATGTAATATGAAATATGTGCTCGCACAATACGCTAACTCTGGTCCACGATGAACGAAAAAAGACCCATAATTTTTTCTTTTCCGTACTGGCTGTGCTTTTATAGCGGTACTTAGTGGATAAAGCAAGTTTTATAGTTTCTGTACACGGCCGAAGGTGTCGTAAAGCCACGCGAGGCCGTTGACACAATTTTACAAGCAATCTTAGTTGAATTTAAATGTTTGCCACTATCAAACTGGCACCGTCGCCGCCATTGTCCGGTAAACAAATGATAATAATATTATGCAAATTCAGAATTATCTATACGAAGCGCCACGTTCAACGCAACACCTACAGACCGGCGGGTCTACTACAGGCAGCTGCTGCCGGCCATGTATTTTTGTCGAAAATTGTTTTTATCATCATCTCGTGACGGTTGTATTGCACCTTAGAAGTCTGTCTTTTATAGATAGAAATCATGTCTACCGTCCTATTGTCGTATTGCGTCTTGACAATGATGACCCTCAGTCACGTTTCCTTGTGTACACAGGGAGTATGCCACGACGGGTTTCCATAGAAGAGTGATAAAATAAAAATACAAATCTATAGGTAAAAAAAATAAAACATCACACTAGGTTTTACATTATAATTTTATCCACCCTACCGTCGAGGGTTTATGTACCCATTTTCGAGTTGACAACGAGGTCATCCTGTCTTCATTCAACGCAAGGATAATTTGTCTTGTTAAACAAACGGTTAGGCTGCCCACAAGCAAAAATTTGACCTATATCAAGTCTACTTTACACTTGGTATAAAATCGATATTTTTTATTTTAATAGATTTTTGGCATTTTTCTCGATACAACTTCGCCCACAGGAGGGTATAAAAACCATATCTGCTGGATTCCGTGAAAAATAGTTAAGTGTTAATGTCACCGGCCGGGCAAACAGTTTAATTTTTATGTCGACGTGACAAACATTGCATTATGTAAATCCAGAATAAGGTGTTATGACCATAACAGGGTATTAATCATTATTGTTGTTTGTATTTTACTACTATCCGGCAGTGTTATTGGAAGTAACGTTGTCGTCGTCGTAAATGGCAATTTCATACTTTTGCCACAATGCGATAAATGGATAATAAAAATGAACATTTTATTATGTAAATCAAAATGCAAATGAAACACATTCTTACAGGAATCACCGTTTGCGTGCAACTATGCGTCGTTGTTATTAATCCGATATTATGTATATAGACATTCAGACAAGACTCTCAAGACGTTACTTACTTTCTGACTTCAGTCTTAACTCACAAACGGCAGTATTGAGCCGAGGATTAAGGTAAGTAGGATCGTCTCTATACCTTCTCGAAACTTGTGCTTCTCAAACTTAATTCGATATAGACGACTTAAATATTTAAATGTGTCGAGACACGTCGAACAAATTACATATTATTATTCTTCACACAAAGCCATAATACGGTGTAATATTTTGATCGATTATTATTATTGGGAAAATACTCTATAGCGTTTACATTGTGATGTAACAGTGTAGTATTGTTCAAACCACCTAGAGTATTATTATAATTTACATTTAATCGTATTTATCAAAAACGTCATAACTCCTAACCGTGTTTTAGTCTTCAGCTGCATATTGTGCGCCTCTATGAATAATTTATGAGACGGGCGTTGTTGCCGGCTATATGGTCCGGATGGAGGTATTTAAAATTATTTATACACTATCGTTGAAATAATACTGTATAATATATGAATTTCAGTAAAATGACAACTGTGTTTCCGGACTGTGGATACCGTCGTCGTCATCTAATCCGGCGAGGCGATTTCATCCACGGTAGCAAAACAATAGGCCAGTTATTTTTGTTTCCCCGGTCGTATCAAAAGCGGTAATATCAAATCAAATCCAGACCAGAGCAGGATTATCAAAGGCTAATAATACTACTTAGCCATATTTGATATGTATATGCAAACGTCAGGTCAGTTTGACGAGACTACCGTGTACGGAATGAGATACACGTTTTGGTTTTATTTTTCTACATAATAGCATTATGTAGTTCCATATGAAGATGCTGTCCATATGGGACACATAGCTGTTATCGTTCTACAGCGTCGCACACTTGTTGATACGCGACCGTGTGCTGCCAACACGTTTAAAACCAAAAGTATTTTTTTTTTTTTGCACGCCGGTATAATGTGATGTTTTTTTTTTATGATTTCTCAACGGTTTTCCACGTGCGAGTAGATACGAATTATTGTACATTGTACTCGGTACTCTGTGTGTGTGTGTGTGTTACGGTTTACCAGCATACCGACGAATCAATCCGAATTATTATCATCTGAAAATCTCCAGTCGGACTTTCTCCGGCCAAACACCGTAACCAATTGTGCAAGGCAATAGCCGCAACGACAGTTTGCACATTTTTGCTCTTAAGACCGTTCGCCAAACCGTGGTGATCCAAGCGGTCGGTAAACAATAAAGAAAACAACAACAGCTGCTGCTGCAACCAGACAATCTTAATACTATGTACCCTACCCTTTCAAAGTCTACTCAGCACATGTATGTGTGCGGCCAGATTTTTCATTTATAAAATCCAGTATCCTCTATCCAAAACGACTAAACGAGCAACATAATATTGTGTAGGCATATAAATAACTTTGTCCCCGAATAATAATAATAATAACAATTAAACTCACTGTTGAAGTACAATATTTTCCTGGTCGATCCCAGACGCCGTATTGGAGATTTGAATCCTCCGGAGTCGGACTCGTCCATGCTGCCACTGAACTCTTCGGCGCACAGCATCTGGACGACGGATAGATAAGAACGTTACAGAACTGTAACTATTCAAAGACAACACACGGGCACAGACGGTGGTCGGTTTAAATTTAAAAAAAAACTCGTAGAATAATTTAATATTACTACAGCGAACCGGGTTCGAAGAGCGCAGATCAACGGCGGCGACGGAAACGGTGTCCAAAACTGAGCATTTCTCGGATCTACAAGCTAATCATCAATCCTATACACACATGCACACGCACTGGCACTCACGTTGAACACATTTATAAATAAATAAAGGCGAAAACACTGGGCGTAGGCGGTCGTTTATTTAAATAAAAAAACGGCGTGTTTTGCAAGAGATGAAAAATGACAATAATAACATTCTGAACGCGACCAACCGAAAACAACAACAACTAGCGTCCGCCGGGCCGGTGGTCGAGAAAAAAACTGTTTAGAAAACCAGTTAACCTGGCCGTACGGTCTCCGCCTGCCTGCAGTTGTTGCTGTTGCTGCCGTTTCTCCCCGGTGTTACCGTCGGTTGTACCGCGCCGGACGGGGAGAGAGGGCTGGCGGTGCACCGCGGTCCGCCGCTGAAAGGTGGAAAAGGTAGAGGAACCGTTTACGCGGTTAGCGGACAGGAACGCGTAACGCCATCTGTCCGAGTGAAACCGCGGTCTGCCTGCAACAGCAACAGCTGCACGGTCACCGCTGCGGTTGGATTTTCCACCGGCATCCTTTATTATAGTTTGGCATTCGGTCCTAAGTTCCCACGTGGTCATGATGATGACAAGTTTTAAAGTTAACAATATGCATCATTCAGACTACTAATTTTTCTTGCTTTTTATGAATAACTGGAAAAATGTTTTCCATAGTTTTCCGTTTTGACAACATTGGGTGTATTAACTTGCATAGTTATGAATTTTACAAAGATAGATTAGGTACATTAGGGAAATTAAATTTGTTAAATACTTTTTTTTTGTAAATAATTTATTTAACTAGGTAAAAATATTTTAATATAGTCTATCAAATTCATCAAAGTCTGCTACATATGTATATTATACTAATTATAAGCAAATATTTGACCACGTTGCTCCACCAAGTTTTACTCATAATATAACTACTTCTAATTTTCAGAAGGCTGATGGTATTTTTTTACAAACGTTAATTTAAAAATATCACATACTTTGGTACAAACGTTTGTTATGCTGTTAAAATATAAATTAACACATAAGGTCAAAGTACAATGAAGTGGCTAAATTGTGATCAAGGTTAAAATACAATTTACTAGTGCATAAACGCAAATTGAAATTCATATTGTAGTAAATTTGTTAAAAGGTCTCTATAATGTGCAAATTCTAGTTACATATACATTTTAAAATAATTATTATTTTGCTTAATTATTACTAATTGGCGACGATAACTTAGACACATCAAATTATTTAATAGCTGACCATGACTTTAGAGATTATGCAAGCTATTTGAGTTGATGTTGTGTATTAAAATTATTGCTAATCCCTAATAATTGCTATTAATATTTATGAAGGCGTTAACAGAAGGGTTCGTACATTCATACATTAAATCAGTACCTAGTTATATGTTACAAATAGTATGAACATAAAATAATGAAAAAAAAACATTCATATAATATCAAACTAGGCACTGATTAAAATTACATCTGAATCCAAACTGTTTTATTGTGGTGTTTAATGTGCAGATAAGATCAATGTGAACGTAAAAACAATAAAAAATATGTGGTACGAGAGTAATTTAATTATGATTTTCCCACAATATATTTTATTATGACCAATTAGCTAGCTATATATCTTTGTTGAAATTAAAGTATACACGTTATAAATTATAATAAAGAATCATACAATACACGTTTACGCGAAAAATGGGCTTCATAGAACAAGTTGGTTTTTTAACTCGCTGATGAGTTTAAGTAAAAGAAAAAAAACAAATATTACAAAATATATTGTACTTATTAGTTGATCAAATTAATTCGAATTGAGTTTTTTATACCTCAAGAGGCCATTAAATATTTTTGATATGGTCGGTATTATATTATACATAAAGTAAAATTGTTTTACTTAAAAATAATGTAACTGATATGTTGGTTATACATAGACTATGTCAACAACGTTTGTAGTGTTTGAGTGAGTAATTCTGAATTTGTTTTGCTTACTCTTGAGATGTCAACAAGTCATAAATATGATTTTTAAAAATACATTTATCTTATTTAATACCCAAAGAGATTTGGTTAATTATTTAACTATTACGTTGTTGAGTTTTGCTGAGAAAAACTTACAGCTAAATACGAAATAAACGGAACCAGGCACCAGATGGCATGGCAGATAATTATTTTAGCACAACATCTGTATAATATATGTATGTAAATTACTAACAAACAATTTATATATTCATTGAATGATGTGTTATAAAATCCATGCAGCTCAGCAAATAATTTAAATATAGGAACTTGTTAGTCGTTTTTGTAAAAATCTAAATTCCAATCAAAATATTATAAACTAAAATAATATTTAATTATCGTTTTAAATATTTTTACATTGTTTCAACAACTAAAGGTGATAAAAAATAATCGATATACCTACTTTTTGACATTTATTCCCAACGCTATAAAATAGGAATGATGACAAATTAGATTAAAAAACAATGTTACTTACAATATATTTTGATATTTAGTGGCGCCATCTGTTTGCTGATAATAGAAGCGCAATGAGAATATGTTAACGTTATAATCTGTTAGTAGATAGCATAACAAATCTGTTATGTTGTCATAAATAGTTTATAATTTTCCTACAATGTGATAAGTCTATAGCTTCAGTAATTTTTTATAAATTGAAATTGAATTTTAGGTCGGTAGTAGTAGTTTAAAATTTTAGAGATCTAAATACGTTTTAAAGTTTTTCACTAGTAAGCTAGAATAAAAACTCACATTTTTTAGAAAATGCAAAAAACTGGAAGAGGATTTTTCTATAGTTTCCTGTAGGAAATACATATTTATTTGTAAATTATTACAAACATATTTTTATTCGATTCGGTTATCAGTTTTTTTTTTATTTTGAGATATAGTTAAGACAAGAACATTTTTTTTTATCACTTAATAAAATCTGTAAATTTTAAAAATTCACGTCTATAAAAACAAATATTTTGAATACATTATAATATTTTAATTGAAATGCTTCCCAGCCTTGAACGCCAACCAAACTGAATTTAATTATTGTATAGCAACATTACAAAATGTAAATGGATCCTACCGGACTTTAAACTGTATCTCATTGAGTTCATGTAACATATCAGTGAGATATTAACACATTATCTACATAATTTCAAACATAATTTTTTAGTCGATTTAAATTAGCGTGTCGTGTTGTCGAATACATTTGCATTAAACCATAAATTTTGATATAGATGTAAAAAACAAGCAATAGTCGTTAGCGTTACCTCCAAATGGTTTGACAAAAATTTAATTATTTATACAATTTATATAAATGTGTCACTATAGAGTCTGTAATAAATTTGACGTCGTGGGGGGAGGGATGTTGCTTTTGTTCTGGTATTTTTCTGGTTATCATATTGTCATCGGGGTGGATGTGAATATATATGTGTATTGTGTAGCATCATTTATTAACCATATGGCGGGGTAGTCGTTGTCCGGTTATACTGACCCAATAAATGTCACCGTTTATAATAGAAATAATGATAATAATATGGCTTTTACAGAGGCAATATTGTTGGTCGGCTGTGTACAAAACGTCGGCTGTCGGTTTACCAATTATTTCACAACAGAAGCATTTTGTATTTTTTTCCTCAGGTAAAAGCTGTTTGTGTGTAAACAGTACAGTGTAATAATCTTGAAAATTATTTAGAAATGGACAGTGCTGGTTCATTTGACAAATGCGGAAAATGACAACGACATTGTCGTCGGTGTAGGATATTAATAAATGCTAACAGTGTAGCCATGAATCGCAGAAATATTAAAAAATAGGAAATATCCGAGTTTTGGCATCACTGGCTAAATCTCAATATGACTGACCGTTTTTCTTTATAAACTCTAAGATTCATTTCTGTTTATTCTGTGGCTTATATAAGCTCTCATGTCTGTTATACGACTGTGCCTTACATCACCTAATCTAACATTTTTCATTACGTATCGTGGAAAAGTAAAGAAGCATTTTTTTACTTTTTATTAAATTGGTACACAAAATGGCCGTCTTCCAGGGTTGGACATTTTTTTGAAATCTGAGTTCAGTGCCGAAAACCGGTAAAAATTCCAGAGGACAACCGCAGAGAACCGCAAAGGCAACTGAATACACGGCTTTTGTAATAGACTTTCATAAAATAAGGGTACGCGGTGGTATTAGTCATAATGTAAAGTGTGTTTATTGTGTTTGGATACATCATCCGATCGGAGAGAAGGCCAAGGGGAGTTGTGGGGGGGGGGGGGTGCAATGAATAATACGAGCCCCGGACGGGCTTTCCTCGACATATAAAAGTTCTATCAGTACAAGTATATGTATATATTTAAGTACAAGTATATAAATATAGCGAAGGGACAAAACGTGGCGTCGTAATTGACGCGTCGCGACGTTGCTGGCGCCAGGCGGTTGCTAAGGATACAAAAACGTCCGGCGCTGGTGAGGGGACAACATTATTCTTCCTACCTTTGACCAAACTTAACAATATAACAGACCAACCAGCAACATGATTTTCGTACCAAACTTCCTCGAGTTTAGCACAAAAATCGGGGGTTTGGGATACAAAAAAAGCTTAAAACTTAAAATTAACGCTTTCCAAATAAATGCATCGATAATTTTAAGTTTTAAGGTTTTTAGAATCACAAGCCCCCCACCCCCAACCCCCTATTCTCCGCATAATACACTTACCACGTAGGTATATGTAAAATTATAAATTGCTATTATGTTTCATTATATCCCCACACACTGCAACTAAAGTTACAATAGCATTTTGTGGTTTGTACCAACGACACAATTGAATTCCTATTTTTCCATAAACACTATAGTATGCTGTAAACTCGAAAATAAAATACGCGAAATCATACTTAACGAGTACTTCGTTTCATAATTTCATAGATCCGCACAAATCGAGTGGATAAATTTAGTGTTAAAAAAAAAATTGCTTATACAAAATATATTTTACACTTGTAATATCGGTTGCCTTCAACTCGAATAACTCTTAAAGGAAATAATTGTTTTATCTAGTTTATGTTAGTATTATTGTAACGCATAAGCTGGGATTCCAAATATTGGTAATTTGAATTATTGGCATGTATTTTGAGTGGTGTTAACCCTCTATTATTTTGGGTTACCAATTATGCCATACTGCATCCCAGGCATTTTTACCTCCTCCTACTCCCACCTACCACATTCATCGAAGTCGTACATAGAACAAAATATGTAAATGG